CCCCCTCCCCCCCCCCCCCGTTCCGGGAGCCCCTTCCCTGCACCCACTTGAAAACCCCGGAGCCCGAGCAGAGGACCCCAACCTGGGTGTAGAAGTGCCCCCCCCCCCCCCCGCGCCACAGGCACGTGTTCCACCTCGACTGCATCTCTCGCTGGCTCAAGACGCGCTCCGTCTGCCCGCTCTGCAACCGAGAGTGGGAGTTTGCAAAGATCGAGAAGATCGCAATGTACAACACCGAGTAGCGGCGCCCTCTCCGCCGTCCTCTGCCTGATCCCGCCGCTGTCTGTCGCCGCTCGAGGGCCCTTCGCTCCCAGGGGGGACGGGGAATGCGCCGACGGCTGATGCCTGTTCTGCGCCGGCACCGCACCGCACCGCACCGCCCCCCCTTCCCCTTCCGCGCACCCAAAGTACGTTGTGTCCGACACATCCATTCTACATTCATTCGCCGAGTTTTCGTCGCAGTGCGCGACGTCTCTTCACTCAGAGGGTCAAAATATATATACGGCAAGAGGACCCCCGCTTCTGGGCCCAGGCGATAAAGTACGAGCGCGGCCACCGCGCCCCCCCCTTGGTCCTCCCTTCCGCCTCACACTGGTCTCCGACTCCCCTCACCCCTGCCGTCACTCCGTCGCTGCCGCCTCGTCGGCCGGGGCCTTGATGGCGAGCGTCTCCTCGACCTGTTCACAGGCGCGCGTGTGAAGAGGCGCTGTTCACAGCAGCGCGTCGGAGGCGGGCGTCTCGCCCAGTTCTTGTTTGTGTAGACGCACCTGCGGACGGGAGAGGGAGGGGAGGGGGGGGGGGGGCTTGCGAGGAGAGTGAGGGGGGGGTCCAGGGCAGGGAGGGAGGGAGGGCAGGGAGGGGAGGGAGGGGGAGGGAGGGGGAGGGAGGGGGAGGGAGGAGGAGGGAGGAGGAGGGAGGAGGAGGGAGGGAGGGAGGGGGAGGGAGGGGGAGGGAGGGGGCAGAGTGCTGCACATGTCGGATGCGATCCCCATCGCCTTTCTGCCGATGGCGCAGGCGTCGAGTCCGTCGACGTCGATCAGCGCACGCGCCTGCGGAGGAGCGGGGCGAGGGGGGCGAGGTCGGGGGTCGGGCGAGAGGCTCGGCGCGTGTCGAGGGAGCGAGGAGGGAGCGGAGAGGGCAGCCGGGGCAGGGAGGGAGTGGGAGGGGCGGTGCTAGCAGAGGCGGTGGCCCGCCGCACCGCCGCCGTCGCAAAGGCGCCGCCTGACCCGATGCCGATGATCCCGTCCTGCGACTCAAGCACCTGCGCACGCCCGTCGCGGGACGCTTCCAGGAAGGCTCGGGGCGGCGGCTGTGACTGCACTGCGGGCGGCGGCGCACGTCTCCAGTCCCGGTGAGCTGGACGTTGGTACCCGCCTCGTCCACCACGATCATCACCGCCTCGAGCCGCCGCAAGTACCTGCTCGCGCCGGCCGGCGTGAGGCGAGCGACGCGAGGGCCGCACCCGCTGCCCTCGCGGCTCACTTGTCCATCCTCCACGCCTTTGCCATCTCGACGCAGGCGCGCATCGTCTCGGGGTGCTCGGAGAGCTTCATCTCGAGGCGCTCAAACAGCGTCATCGCGTCGGCCGTCGCACCCGCGAAGCCCGCCATCACGCCGTCCTTCAGCTTGCGCACCTTTCTCGCATTCGGCTTGATGATCTGCGAGCCGAGCGAGACCTGGCCGTCGCCGATGATGAAGAGGCTGTCGCCCTTGCGCACCGACAGGATCGTCGTCGCGTGCACCTCGGCCTGCAGCGGCGCGTGGGGTGCAAGGGTCGGCGCCAGCGGTGAGCGCGGGCAGGAGCGACGCACGCAGAGCGGCGCCTCGTGCCAGCCGCCGAGGTGATGCCGGCCGCCGCCGCCGTGTCCACGCCGACCGGGGCCGCGCGAATACAGTGCGCTGGCAGTGCGCAGCACATGTGTCGGAGCTCCAGGCAGGCCCGCTCGTCGGCAGGCAGACAGCATGACGGCCTACGCTGCGCACGAGTACGCCGCGGTTGGAGGAAGTGTCTTTTCACGAAACAAAAAAAACCGGGTGCGCTCCCGCTACACGGCCGCCCTCTCTCACCTTCCTGACCCCGCGTTGCGCCTCCTTCAGAACCAAGTGAGCGTGGCCGTCATGCTGACCGGCGTCGCCGTGTGAGTGTGACACACACACACACTCACGGCGTCGCCCTCGTCGTACGTCGAGATGGGCTACGTACGACAAGGAGCTGCGGGTGCGAGCCTCCCCCCCTCCCCTTCCCCATCTGGGCCCGTCCTGATCCCCAGTTCCCGTCGGCGTAGGACGCGCTCCAGGCCGGCATGTACGAGATGGCCGACGCGCAGGGGTGCATCAACACGTACCTGCCGCAGCATGTGACCGCGCGGAACCGGATTCTCGACTTTCAGGGTGAGACGTGGAAGGACAAGCGCGACACGGAGCGGCCCAACAAGAACTATGCGCGCGCTCCGGGCTGGTCGAAAAATTCGTCTTGCCAGGGAGGGATGGGAATAGAGTAGGCAGTAGCCAGGCGGGGCTAGAGAAAATTCTTTTCATCGCTTTGCTGAAAGATCAGGCGCCTGAATGGCGACAGTGAGCGTCTCCTACTTATGGATTGCGCTCGAGGTACGAGGAGCGCAAGAGCGCGCCGCAGGCGAAGCGTTTATGCATATGCTGCCGGCAGGCGTGTCGCGTGAGGCCGACGGCGACATCCGAGGAGGCGAGTTTTTCTTCTTTGCCCCGCCAACGTGTTCTCCGGGTGTGCGCTGCATCCCGTCCCGCCCCCCCCCCCCCCCGCGCGCTCCCGCCCGTGCCCCGTTGGTGAGTACGAGTAATGCCGAATCCCATTGCGCGGCACCGCACATCCTCCACAGTCTCTCCCTCCAACATCCCATACACGTCTGACCGCCCCTCGCGCCCTCCATCAGGCGCGCAGGGTGCAAGCTGTGATAGGAGAGGGCCAAGGTGCCGTCGCATTCCCCCGTGCGCCCCGCCTGCGCCCCTGCACGTCGGCGGCTTGCCTTCCCTCATGACGCCTCGTCTCCACGGGTTCATCCACACGCCATGCGACCTGACTGCTGCCACAATGTGCGACCTGTGCTGGCCCACTTGCGACTTGGCGGCCTTCCAGGTCAGTGGTGAGGCGCAGTTCAGAGCTGTCGATGGCGCGATGCCGCACTGGTCCCACATTGCTCATTGGTGACACCAGACACACACCAAGTTTGCCGGTCCAAGTCCAAGAGAGAGGCACTGGCGCTGGCCTGAGAAGGTGCATGGTCCCTCTTGACTGCCCATCATGCGCGCGAGAGGCTGTGTAGGCCATAGCCTCGAGAGTGTGCCATCAGCCCAAGGAGTGCGGGTCAGGAGGCCTAAAACGGCGGCAGAACGGCGGGAGGGGTAGGGGTGCCGCTGTAGGGGTGTGGGAGGGGTCGGGAGGGCGGGAGTGTGGACCGTGACCTAAAGCCCTCCACCGATAGAGGTGTCAGGCAGCAGGGCCCAGGAGGGCACTCGGAGGGGTGGGGGCTGGGAGGGCTGGCCAAAAGCGAGGCGTAGGAGGGCTCGTGAGGGCTTGGGAGGGGTGGAGAGCTCGGAGGGGTCGGAGGGGTCGGAGGGCAGAGAGGCACGAGGGTGGCGCTGGTAGGCTCGTGAGGGCTCGGGAGGGCTCACAAGGGATGGAGTGCCCGGAGGGCTCGGAGGGGCGAGCCGCCGAGCCGGCTCGGGGGGCTGCTCCAGTAGGGCTCGGAGGGGTCTGGAGGGCTCGGAAGCTCGAGCCCTCCGAGCCCTTCAAGCCCTCCTATGGAGTGCTCGGAGGGGTCGGAGGCGAGCTGCCGAGCCGGGCTCGGAGGGCTCGGAGGGCTCGGAGGGCTCAAAGGATCGACCCCTCCGAGCCCTAATGGGGCCCTCCAGCCCTCCAGCCCTCCGAGCCCTCCGAGCCCTCCTGGGGGGCAGTCACATAAGCCGCGACTTCGTTTTTTTATCTTTTTGCGAACCCCTCCCGGAGGGGCCCCCGGATGTGGGGGCCTGGGGGGGGGGGATCGGCAGGCTGTCAGAGCACAGAGGACACCCCGGAAGTGCAATGGTTCTCTCTCCACACTCCCGTCCAACAACTAGAAAAAAAATTAAATATTCTTAGCTTCGCCCTTGCCTCCGAGACTAGGGACAGAACCCACCCGTACACAGGAGAGATGGGACTGCCCCTCGCCCTCGCTTGCCCTGACTGCACAGGATAGCGTGCCCCGATGACGGCGACACTTAGCGAGGGTCACTGCGCAAGGAGGTTCGGTTTTGCCTTTCTCTGTGCTCTCGAGGGAATGTTCTCTCGACGCCCATGGCCTTCTGAGGTTTCGTACTAATGACGTCCTTCTTGGCACTTCGGGCGTCGGTGTGTGCATGTCTGTGGTGTCTAATTCCCCCGGTATTTTTATTTTTTTTTATTATTTTTATGCTATATATAGGTCGCCCGCCGGCGCCTCCTATCATCTCCTCTGCCTCTTCGGCCGGCCGCCAGCTCGATGGTCGAGTGGCTTCCGGATCGAATCGGCAGGGTGACCCTTATAATTTTTTTTCACCTAAGCGGGCCCAATTTTGCTCTACGTGCCTCCTACGATTCGATCCAGCGTTCTCAGGCAGTCGCCTGGTGCGTTGTTTCGTTTTCGTCACGGGAGCCGTCCAACAACTAGAATGAAACCTTTTTGCGAGGCCGAGTGAATAAATAACTAAGTCACATCGAAACGGGAGGGTTAATGTTGCTGCTGCTGCTGCTGCTGCTGCTGCTGCTGCTGCTGCTGCTGCTGCTGCAACGCACCGCCGGCAGACTCGACCGCTGACTCGTCCACTCGCTCCCCCTCGATTCGCACCACCCGCAGCAGCGGCGAGGAGCTGCGCGAATCGATGCGGGCGGGCGGCAATTCTCTCAGTGCGAGCGCGAGCCCGAGAGCGCCGCACGCCGCGGTGGCGAGGTTCTGCACGAGGGGGGGCAGACGCCAGCTCGGCACGAGCAGGAAGCCCACCGACCAGCCGAGAGACTGCACCATCTTGTAGAAACCCACGGCGCGCGCGAGCTCGTCGCCGCCTGCTCGCAGCAGGAGGGTGTGAAGGACCGTGATCACAGCCGCGCAGCGCGCGCGAGCCGCCGCCGCCCGAGTGCAGCTGCCGCAGGAGCCAGTACGCGTACGCCTGGACCTGCGAAGAGTCGGGGAGGCGAATGATGAAAATTAAAATGAGAAGGTGGTGGTGAGGATGCCGATGCGCCTGCGAGTCGGAGAGGCCCCACAGGAAGAAGGCGAGCGACGGGACCGCAACGCCTGCTCGAGCGTCGAGGAGTGAGGAGGCGGTCTGCTGAGGCGGTGAGCGGCGCCGTCGCGACGCCTTCTTCCCCGAGCTGGAGGCGAGGGGTGGAGCAAGTTGGCCAGTGCGCGCGCGCCGCAGGCACCTGCGAGGGGGGGGGGGGGGGGGGAGGGGGGGGGGGGGAGGACGTCGCAGCGCGCGACGCGGCCCACGCGGCGAGAGGGCGGGAAGTGAGCCGTGGCCGGGCTGCGGGACAGAATGTCGCCGCGGGGCGCACCTCGACGGAGAGGGCGAGCGCGTAGGCGGCGGAGGTGGCGAGGCCGAAGGCGGCCAGCTGGCGCAGCGCCCCGGCCCTCGGCGTGGAGGCGGTGTCGAGCGTCCATCCGGCGAGCGCGGCGCCGAGCACCTAATTAGTTCATGAGTTCATTGGTGAGCCGGCGGGTGCGTCGCCGAGCACCTCGGGCAAACCGCAAAGAGAGCTCGAAGCCGATCTCCGCGCGTCTCGGCTGCGTCTCGGCTGCGTCTCGGCTCTGTCTCGGCTCTGTCTCGGCTCTGTCTCGCCTCGGCGAGGTAGAAGGAGGCGAGCTCGAGGCCGAGCGCCCTGCTGTCGAAGAAGCGGTCGCCAAAGGTGTTGAGCTGGTACCTGCAGAGAGAGCTGCGCGTGGTGCGGAAAGAGACGTGGGTCAACGTCGCCGGCGGCGTGGAGCTGGCACGGCTGGTTGAAGCCCGTGTACCAAAAGAGGGGGAAGAGGACCGCCATGCGCCGCGTGCCAAACAAGCGCAGCGTCGCCTTCGCCTCGCCCTCCCACGTGCTGCCGCCCCTCGCCGCCTACAGCCGTGTCGATGACACGTCCACGACATGTCCGAGACACGGTCCTCGTGCCGCTCCTCGCAACGGCCGGCGGCAGCAGCGGCAGCGGCGTGGCGGCATCCTCCGTTGCCGGCGCCGCGGCCGCGACGCGCTGCTCGGCGGAGGCTGAGGCTGAGGCGGCTGGGCGCGCGATGGTGTGCGGTGGCGCGAGCAACGCAGTCGCTGCGCCGCCGAGGACGATGCAGCCGAGGAAGATGAGATAGAGGGAGACGGGGGCCTGGCCCAGGGCTGGAGGTGTAAGGAGACCGCCGTGCACGAGGCGTTGCAGAGAGAGAGAGAGAGAGAGAGAGAGAGAGAGAGAGAGAGAGAGAGAGAGAGAGAGAGAGAGAGAGAGAGAGGTGGAGAGGCGGAGAGGCGGAGAGGCGGAGAGGCGGAGAGGCGGAGAGGGCCACACACACTCGCCTCCTCCGAGTGGTGGGAAAAGTAGAAGAACGTGAGCAGGCCGCCAACCACACTCGAGCAGTTGAACAGGGCCCAGAAGATGGCAAAGAGGCGCCCCTGGTCCGTCCCGTCCGAGTACTCGAGCATCAGCCGTCCCTGCGCTGTCCACAGCAGCGCCGCGCCAACGCCCAGCACGCCGCCGCCCAGAACGACCACTCCGCGGCACCACGGCGCGCCGACGATCGCGAGGAGGAGCGAGGCGGCGACGAGCGCCGCGTAGCCGAGCGCGCCGAGGAAGAGGGTGAGCCGCGGACCGAGCGTGTTTGTGACTGCGGGTGCGACGAAGCAGGCGAGCGTGAAGGTTGCGTAGAGCGTCGACTCCATCTCGGACGCGAGCGCCTCGCCATACAGCTGCGAGGCGAATCCCTGAATGGTGCTGTAAGCTGTGAATATGAAGAGGAAGATGACTCCGAGGATCGAGATCTGGCAGGACGCAGATCGGAGCCGCATCTTTCTCGTCCTGCCCCCGGGGATGCAGGGTGTAGGCTGCACCGGTGGTGCGAGGGTTGCTGTCTGGCAGAGCCCCAGCCGCTCTCGGCCTAAGCGCGCACCAAATAAAAAAATTCTTTTTTCGCCCTCCCCGAGCGTTTCGAGGATGGCCGCGATCGCAAACGCCGCAGTCAGCTCCCTGACGGTCCGAACCCCGCCTCCCGAGGGCACTGCGGCGTCACGCTACGGCGGGTGTTCTCGCGCCGCGCTCTGACGGGCTCCCTCCCGCCACCTGCCCCGCCGCAGTCGCCCGATGCCAAAAAGGAGGAGTTCAGGAAGTACCTCGAGCGGTCCGGCGTGATCGATGCGCTGACCAAGGTGCTGGTCGGGCTGTACGAGGAGCCCGAGAAGCCCTCCAACGCGATCGAGTGCGCCACGGCTTATTCCACACGAAGAACCTCTACTTGCAGAGCCCCACCCGGTCTTCTGATAAACGCAGTATGGAAGATACAAAGAGACGGAGGAGCAACGAGCGCCCTGGCGTGAGCCGAAGACACTCCCCTCTCCGTAGACACTGATCACACACGGGTGGGACAGGGTGGGTCACAACAACGAGGCACGAGAGCGTGCACGACAGAGCGACGGCGCAGCGTACCGCCGTCCAGCTAAAAAGCGGCGGCCGACGGTTGCTGCGCAAAGTGATCAGTTCTAAAATAGGTGCCGGGGCCCAACGGATAGATGAATCCGGGGCACCCTCCGCTCGAATCCCTGGCCGGGGGTTCGAGGTGGCCCCCACCCTGGGGCCTCCCATCAAAGGGACTGCGGCAGAAGACGCCCAATCTTGCACAAGTGCAAGAACCATACGTCTTCTGATAAACGCAGTATGGAAGATACAAAGAGACGGAGGAGCAACGAGCGCCCTGGCGTGAGCCGAAGACACTCCCAACTGCGCTCCGTCACCGGTGTCGCGGTCTCCCCCACTGAGGGCGATCTGCGGGGGGGAGTCGCGCCGCCGGCATGTATCTGTGCAACTGTGTTTTGCCTTGTCCCGTTTGATGGAGCAAAGTCACGGGCCGCCCGCGCTTGAAGGCGGTCGCGCCAGGCGCGGGCGGCACTAGTTGCCGGCGATCCGCTTGGGCAGCGCCCACGCTTGCCTCTGGCTGCGTCTCCATAGGTCGCGCGGCCCGAATGCTCGAATTGAACGTCTCGCAAGCTGGCGTCGCTCGCGTAGCTGTGGCAGGGCGATCCTCCCTCCGGATGAGGGAGATCTCTAGCCTCCTAACGAGGTTGCCCTCCGGCTGGCTGTTGCCGACAGCAGTTAACACCTCCGCAGTTGCGTCGGTCGCGCCACAGGTAGAGACGTTGAGCTCGACAAAGTCTTGGTAGTTGTTTCGGGCCATCAGTCCGACAGGAGAGGGCCAGCGGTCGCCTCCTCGAGCTGCCCATGCCTTCGCCGGTTTGGAGTATCGTCGCCGCCACCACCATGTGCGCCCAGGAAAAGGAGGGCTCCCCACTGAGGGCGGTCTGCGGGGGGAGCCGAGTCGCCCGGAACGACCTCCTGATGGGATCGCCCCTCCTCGCTGAGGGCGATCTGCGGGAGGAAGGGCCCCACCTCTCCCCACTGAGGGCGGTCTGCGGGGGAAGAGGTCCTGGATCGAACAAACCTTGCCTCCGCTCAGGACGGCTGACAAGGACGGCGACCACCGCATGGAGGTGTCCATTGATCCACTCGGGGGCTGGTCCCAAGGGTCACAGCTCAGGCCGAGCGGCCGCCGGTGCGACGACGAAGTCCTCCCGCCACGGGCTCCGGCGGGGCCCTCGCCGCTCCCCACTGAGGGCGATCTGCGGGGGGAGAGGCCGGCGAGGCGCTCGAGGTGGATGCCGTACAGGTTGCCCGGGTTTGGCGCGGAGCCAGGCCGCGATGGCGTGCCCGAGCTGGATGCCGTACAGGTTGCGGAGCCGGCCGTGGTGGCGCGCCCGAGCGTCTGTTGAGAACAGGCGATGTAGGTTAGCAGCAAGTGGTTGAGTTTAGTTAGGTTGAATTTCGTGCGGGCAGGGCTGGGCAAGCGCTGTACTAGTCCGTCGGCGTCGACGGCGCCGCCGCGCCGGCTCGCTAGGTCCATAGGGCGCCGATCCGTCGGAAAGTAGAGCGAGACGAGCTGCCGGTAGGCTTCATAAACGACCGACGGGGGCGTTGGCCGAGGCAGCGCACGGAGCAGGGAGTCGAGCGTCGGCGCCTTGGCTGCGATAGCGCGCGGGCAACGCTGCTCGGCCACTCGGTCGCGCGCCACGGCGGTCCCGCCCACGTACTCGGCGCGAGTCTCAACCTCCGCAGAGTAGTTCTGAAAGGAGTTGGTCCTCAGGCAGGCCGGGAAACTCGAGCGGGTAGTCTTCAGCATGCTGATCACATGCCGAGAGAGCAGGGCGGGATGCCCATCGCTCGCTCGCGGAGTGATGTGACCAGCGGCGGCGGCGAGCGATGCAGCCCCCACGACGGCGCTCCCCATGGGATCGACGCGCGCCGCCGCCGTGAAGACGGGCCCCAAGCAGCGGGTCATGTCAGACAGGGCTGCGAACGGGACGTCGGCCGTAGGGTCGCAAAGAGCCCCGACCGTCGCGTACTGCAAGAAGTCGACGGCCTTCGCTTCTGCAGATGGCGCTGGTCCCAAAGGCACGATAGCCTCAGAGTACCCCAAATCGCCCCACTGCAGATAGAGCTCGGGCACCGGGATTTGGCGGGAGTGCAGAGCCTGGATGCACACCGTACGGAACGCATCCTCATCCACGTGCACCGTGCTGAAAACGCCGAGGTCGGACAAGGCACCGAGGATGCGGCGCCAAGCCGCGGCCAATACGGCCAGCCGCAAGACGCTGAGCCTGTCAAAGTGGGTGGCCACAGCGGGCTCGGGCTCACTGAAGGCGAGCAGCGCACTGATGGCGACCCACTGCGGAATCTGGACCCACGACGGTTGCATCCCCGGAGGAGGAGGGGGCAGCTGGAGGAGGGCCGGATTGCCCACCACAGACCACGGAATGAAGCGCAGGGTAGAGCCTACCACTGTTGAGTCGACGGGTATCACCAGTGGCTTTGCGGGATCGGGGTGCTGCTCGGCCGGAATGCTGAGCTCGGCGGCAGTGAGGTCTGGCATCGCGGCGCCGGTCGTCTCGTCGAGGGCTACCTCTCGACTCTACTCCCGTGTCACAACAACGAGGCACGAGAGCGTGCACGACAGAGCGACGGCGCAGCGTACCGCCGTCCAGCTAAAAAGCGGCGGCCGACGGTTGCTGCGCAAAGTGATCAGTTCTAAAATAGGTGCCGGGGCCCAACGGATAGATGAATCCGGGGCACCCTCCGCTCGAATCCCTGGCCGGGGGTTCGAGGTGGCCCCCACCCTGGGGCCTCCCATCAAAGGGACTGCGGCAGAAGACGCCCAATCTTGCACAAGTGCAAGAACCATACCTCTTTTCCTTACCAAAGCAAAATTCTTTTTTCGCCCTCCCCCGAGCGTTTCGAGGATGGCCGCGATCGCAAACGCCGCAGTCAGCTCCCTGACGGTCCGAACCCCGCCTCCCGAGGGCACTGCGGCGTCACGCTACGGCGGATGTTCTCGCGCCGCGCTCTGACGGGCTCCCTCCCGCCACCTGCCCCGCCGCAGTCGCCCGATGCCAAAAAGGAGGAGTTCAGGAAGTACCTCGAGCGGTCCGGCGTGATCGATGCGCTGACGAAGGTGCTGGTCGGGCTGTACGAGGAGCCCGAGAAGCCCTCCAACGCGATCGAGTGCGCCACGCGCCTTTCCCGCACGCAGCGCGACGCCACACCGCCGCCACGCCCGCGCGCGCGAGAGAGAGAGAAAGAGCAAGTCTCGTCTGCAGCCGCGTGGCCGGCGAGCCGACGGGCCGGCCTCGGCACACAGGTTCATCAAAATGACGCTTGGCGCGCCGACGGGCGTCGACGTGGATCAGCTCAAGGCGGAGAACGAGACGCTACGTGCCGAGGCGGCTCGGCTACGCGAAAAGGTTGGCGCGCTCGAGGAGAAGTTGGGAGGTGCGGCGGCGGAGGAGTAGAGGGGAGGAGACTGGACCCATTGCGGCGCACGCCTCTCTGTTCTCCCTGTATGTCTATTTACTTGCTGCGGCTTGCGGCCGCCCTTTGTGTCTGTCGTGCCCGTCCGTCTTTTTGACGAGCCCTCGCTTGTCGCTCGTGAGTATGTACTTCATCATGGAACGCGGAACTCCACGCCACGCGTCGGACAACTACTGTACATTAGTACTCGCGCTACCACGCGGTATTATAGAGTGTGTGGTCCCTCTCGCCTCTCTGCGTGGGGTCACGGTCACCCCCGCTCTCCGTCCTCCAGTACCGATCTCGAGCGAGAACGGCAAAAGAGAGGCGTTTCGTTTGGGCCCGCGCCGAGCAAAAAGCCAAAGGCCCGCCCCGATTGGTCACGGGTTGAGCGTGTCTCTGTACCAGACGCGGGAGAGGGTGAGGTAGACGAGTGCCCGCTCCCCCTCGCTCTCGTTCGCCCCTCCGCGGTGCATCACCCTCGGGTCGTACAGCACGCACGAGCCTACGCGAGAGGGCTGCGAGCAGCTTCCGGGCAACCCGAGCGCGCGGGTGGTGCCATGGCACCGCTCGCGCCGGCGGGGCAGCAGGCGGCCGCACGGCTCGGCGGGCGGACCAGGTTGGCCTGTGGGCGGGGTGAGGGTTGGGCGGGTGGGCGAGGCGTCGCCGTGGTGGCCAAGTCGGCAGGGCTGCGCTGCCTCCCTGCGCAGTGTATGCGCACGGAATCCAGTCCGCACCAGGCCCGGGTGCAGTCGGGTGCGTGAGTGCGAGTGCAAGCCTGCGTTGGTGCGCGGCGCGCTGTGTGCGAGAAGGGGTGTGCGTGTGACTGCGCGGGTCGTGCCGAGTTGACGTGCGGTGCGAGGCGGAGTAGTGATTCTGCGAGTGCATCCGCCGCCTTGATGTGCGACGCGAGGTGGAACTCGGTGGGCCCGTTGGCGGGGCGGAGGTCGCACAGCGGCACAAAGACAGACAGCGAGTGCGGCGGCAGGTGCTCTCGGCACGCAAAGAGGTGCGGCGTGTCCATGTGCCACCTGTGGGCCCATCCAGCGACTCCTCAACAGTGCACCAGGCAAGCAGGCGAGGCGTGCCCATGCGCCCGCCGCTGCGCCGTCGCGCCTGCAGCAGGCAGGACGGTGAGGGAGTGCGGCATCTCGCTGCATCTCTCGCCAGCAGCTCGGCGCCAGGATGCGACACCACCAGCCCGCACTTCTCGAGGTAGTGCTTTGGGCCGAGCAGCGCCTTGGCCGCCGCGGCGATGGAGGGGTGCTGGGCAAGCTCTGCGAACGCGGCCGCCTCCGGCGAGTGCACGTGCTCCCACCGCTTCGCCCTCCGGTTCTGCCGCTTCCTCGGCTCGAGCGCCGCAACCCTCTCTCGCAGCGCCGCCACCGCCGCCGCGTCGAGCACGCGCTCAACAACGCACACGCCCTCGGCACGGACAGCGGCGGCCACCTCCGCCGTCGTGGCGACCCGGGCGATGTCCGACGGCAGCGCTGCGGCGGCTGGTCGAGGCGGCGGCCGGCGGCGGAGCAGCCGCACCGCGGATACGACGACGACGGCGGCAGTTGCTAAAAGACCGAGCGCCCGTGCCGTAACCCATGGGCTGTGACGCCACGCCATCTGGTGGGCTGGAGACCTGTCCGCCGAGCGAGGGCCGCAACAAAAGAAATCAGCACGCCCAAATTTAGACCCAGGCGCCCACCAGAGAGCATTCCCGTAGGAGCAGGGGTTTAGGTTATTTTAATCGACTCACGCTCGAAGTTTCCACGACCCACCAAGTGCTCCAGTGCTCAGAGGATGTCCACCAGCCTCTCGGCCTACGAACAGGAGCGCCTCAAGAACATCGCGGCCAACAAGGCTGCGCTCGTCGCCCTCGGCATTGAACAGGACGTCGCCTCGATTCGCACACTCAAGACGCAGGCCCGCACTGTCAAGGGCTCGGCGATCAACAAGAAGAAGAAGGCGAGCAGTGTGCCGCCGCGGACCAAGTCGCTGCGTCAGCAGAACCTCGACACGGAAGGCAAGGCGATGCCCGACAAGCCGGTCGTCGCCACGCCCGACCCCGTCGTCCGCCAGCCACGCAAGCCAAGCGTGCCGCTCGACGCGGCAAAGGTCTCGACCGGCGCGACGTCGGCGGAGGAGGCGGCCACATTCTTGGCGCGGCTTGGCGAGGGGAGCATCCGCGAGGCACCAGCGCCCGCGTCGCGCAAGACCAAGATGGACCTGAGCTCGCTGGCGGTGGCGGAGGACGACATTGCTAAGCTTGTTCCCGAGCGGATCTTCTCGCTCGCGGTGCACCCGTCGCCGACCAAGCTGCTCGTCGCTGCGGGCGACACGTGGGGCAGGGTGAACCGCTAGACGTCCTTCATGACGCTTCTTCTCGGAGCCTCCCCTGAAGATCCTCGGAGCCTCCCTCTGGTAGGTCGGGCTGTGGGACGTCCTCGCCGGCGACGAGACGCCGGTCGTCACCTTCGAGCCGCACTCGCGCCCCGTCGCGGGGATGCGCTTCGCGGCGCACCTGCCGCACCTGCTGCTCTCCTGCTCGCACGACGGCGCGGTCCGCGCGCTCGACCTCGGCGGCGGCGGCAGCTCCGCTTTTGTCGAGCTGTACCGCGCACCCGAGGACCCGGACGGCGACTATGCGATGCTGCACGCCCTCTCGCGCACCGCGGGCGAGGGTGGGGCGCTCGCCGTCTGCCGCACCGACGGCCTCGTCACGCTGCTCGACCCGCGCGCTGCGCCGGGCGGCGGCGGCACGGGCGTGCACACGCAGCGCGTGCACGAGAAGAAGGTCTTCTCGGCCGACTTTAGCGCGGCCAAGCCGCACCTCCTCGCCACGGCCTCGCTCGACCGCACCGTCTGCCTGTGGGACGTGCGCGCGTTCGGCGGCGCCGGCGGCAAAAAGGCGAAGCCGCTCGCGACGCTCGAGCACGGCCTCTCCGTCACGGCCGCGCGCTTCTCGCACTCCGGCGACCGGCTGCTCACCACGTGCAACGACGACCTGCTGCGCGTATTCGCGGGCGGCAAGGCGGACAAGGACTGGGCGCTGCAGACGGCCATCAAGCACAACAACAAGACGGGCCGCTACATCACAAGCTTCCAGGCCGAGTGGCTGCGCGGCTCCGACGAGACGGTCGTCTGCGGCTCGCTGCTGCACCCGCGCGGCATCGACGTCTTCGACGCGAGCGACGGCAGCGCGGCCGAGCGGCTCGAGCACGACAACGTCACGTCGGTCGTCTCGCTGATCGCGCAGCACCCGACGCAGCCCGTGCTGGTCGCGAGCAACTCGGGCGGAAAGTGCTTTTGCTGGCGGCCGGAGGAGTGAACGAGGCCGTCGTGGTAAAAAGGCGGGGGTGCGCGTCGTATTTCTTGCGGTGACGAAATCCTACCGTTACAGTGCACCGTATGAGCCTGGCTGTCTGCTCTTTGAGAGGGAGCACTTGGAGTTTTGTTGTAAAATTCTTTTCGCGACCTGGCATTCTTTTCCTATCTTTCGAGGGCTGTCGGCCGCGGCGCTGTGAGGCGGCGCAACGCACTGCTGCACTGCTCCGCCGCCGTCGCCGCCGCCGCCGCCGAAGCTGGCTTCCTCCTCTGGCGCCATGCCGCAGATGCGCGTCTCCAACTCTCCCAACCAGGAGTGCGCCCTCACCAACTGCGCCTTTCTCTCCGACGCGGACCACTCTCTCCTCGGACCGGGCGGCGATGTCTACGTCGAGATGGGAGGCTATGTGCTGACGGCACGGGCGGACCGCCGCGTCGAGCCCGGCTGCGTCGCCCTCAACTCGATCCACCGTGGGATGCTCAGCGTCTCGAACGGCGCGTCGATCGCCGTGGACGTCTTTTCGCCGTCAGCGGCGGAGAAGGCTGGCGCGGCGATGGTGGTGTTCGAGGTGGACTACGTGCTGCGGCAGCGCGAGAGCGGCAGGGAGATTGACGCCGGCGAGCTCTCCAAGGCCTTCCTCGCTCGCTTCGCGCTGCAGTACGTCACTGTCAATCAGCCGGTCGTCGCCGAGTGGCAGGGAGACGAGAGGGCCGGCGGAGCCGCACTCTCCGGACGCTTCTCCGAAGCGCGTCGGAGCCGTCCCCGTAGGCGACAACCTGAAGCTGACCGCCACGAGCCTCGAGGTGATCCCGCTGGGGCAGGACACCGCGAAAGGCGCGCGCAGAGGCGCCGCTCGAGCCCGCGGCCGCAGCAGCTCCTCCTCCTCCCGCCGCCGATGTTGAGGAGAGGCATGCCCTGCTAGGCATGCTCGGCCCGCAGACGCAGCTGCAGCTCCGGCCGGCGGCACAGTCGCCCATCAAGCTCACGGGCGCCGCCGTCGAGGAGGCCGCAAAGACAAACATCTTCCGCTCGGACTGGTGCCAGCCGTGGGGCGGGAGGCGGGGGTCCGAGCGGAACGGGAGGAGGCGCCTGACGAGCCCGGGCGGCGTGCGCAGGTCGTTTGAGGCGATGGGGATCGGGGGGCTCGACCAGGAGTTCTCCGACATCTTCCGCCGCGCCTTCGCCTCTCGCATCTTCCCGGTCTCGGTCATGAAGAAGCTCGGCATCTCGCACGTCAAGGGCACGGCGCTGCACGGCCCTCCCGGCACCGGCAAGGCGCCGTCTCCTCACAGCCGCGGGTGTGGACAGGCATGATGCTGCACGGCCCTCCCGGCACCGGCAAGACGCTCATCGCGCGCCAGATCGGAAAGATGCTCAACGGCAAGGAGCCCAAGGTGGTCAACGGGCCCGAGGTGCTGTCCAAGTTCGTCGGCCAGGCGGAGGAGAATGTGCGCTGCGCCACGCGGCGAGGCGGGAGGCTGCTACGCCCCCTCCCGGACCCTTCCCGGCCGTGTGTGCCCCGCGCCAGGTGCGCAAGCTCTTCGCAGAGGCGGAGGCCGAGTACGAGTCGCGGGGCGACGACTCGGTCCCGCTCCCGCTGCTCGCCACGGCTGAGGCGCGCGGAGGGCGTCTCTTCACGCGGCGCTGCCCGTGAGCAGGACCTGCACATCATCATCTTCGACGAGATCGACTCGATCTGCAAGCAGCGCGGCATGCAGAGGTCGGACGCCGGCGTCGGCGACACGGTGGTCAACCAGCTGCTCTCCAAGATCGACGGCGTGCACTCGCTCAACAACATCCTCGTGATTGGCATGACCAACCGACTCGACATGATCGACGCGGCGCTGCTGCGGCCCGGTGCACCTGCGAGCCGAGCCGGGCACACCCCGCAGCGCGAGCCCGGCTGCATCTCGGCTGCCTCTCGACTGTGTAGGCCGGCTCGAGGTGCAGGTCGAGATCTCGCTGCCGGACGAGCACGGGCGGCACCAGATCCTCTCGATACACACCGCAAAGATGCGCGAGAACAAGTACCTCTCGCCGGACGTCTCGCTCGAGGAGCTCGCCGCAGAGACGAAGAACTTCTCCGGCGCCGAGATCGAGGGGCTGGTTCGGTCGGCAACCTCGTGGGCCTTCGGGCGGGAGGTGACGGTCGAGAACGTCAAGAAGGGCGCAAAGGCGGAGAACTTGCTCGTGACGCGGCCGGACTTTGACCGCGCGCTGGCGGGGCCGCCGCCTTGCTCTCGTGGCGTGGGGACGGCGCCTCTTCACACGCCGTCGCTCTAAACAGGCGGAGCTGCAGCCCGCCTTCGGCTGCCCTGACGAGATGCTGCACGACTGCATCCCGCAAGGCACGCTCTCGTCACGCTCTCGTCGGCGGCACGCTGCTACCGCGAGACCGGCGCCACACCGACCCCCCCCCCCCCCCCCAGGCATCCTCGAGTACGGAGGGTCGCTGCCCCGCCTCAAAGAGACGATGTCGGTCCTCATCCAGCAGCTCCGCGCCTCGTCGCGAACCTCCCTCCTCTCCGTCGTGTTCGAGGGCGCCGCCGGCGCCGGCAAGACCGCCCTCGCAGCGCACATGGCGCTCACGTCGACCTTCCCCTTCGTCCGCCTCATCGCCCCCGCCACCACCCTCGGCGAGCGCGAGGCTGCAGCGGCGGCGTCCGTGGACAGCGCGTCGCCACGCCGTGTGCCCTGCGCCTAGGCGTGCACGAGGCGGCAAAGGCGGCGCAGATCAAAAGCGTCTTTGACGACGCGCACCGCTCCGAGCTCTCGGTCGTCATCCTGGACGACCTCGAGCGGCTGCTCGACTACGCGCGGATCGGGCCCCGCTTCTCGAACGTGGTGCTGCAGACGCTGCTCACCTGCATCAAGCAGCCGCCCAAGAAGAAGGGGGGCAAGCTGCTCGTGCTGGGCACGACCTCCTCCTCCGAGGCGCTCAAGTCGCCCCAGCCGCTCGACGCCGC